AGTAGGGAAAAAATATACAGATAGTGCATTTTGGTACTTAAGTACAGCTCTAGTACAGGTACATCGGGCTCCGGGGCTCTGCCAGCTGACCCGGAGCCTCTGTGCCCCCCCAGGCTCCCCCTCCGAGCGTCTGCCCGTCTCCGCTGAGGTCAGCTGCCTGGAGCTGGCCCACAGCAAGCGCCTGCTGCTCTGCGGGCTGACCAGCGGTACCGTGCTCATCTACCCGCTGGACCACCCCCAGGAGACGCTCTGCATCCCCCCCCCGGAGAGCCTGTCCGCCGTGCTGCGCCTGGCCCTCAGCCCCCCGGAGCAGCACCTGCTGGTGGCCTACCGGGACTCCCTGAGCCTGTTTGAGGTCTCCACCAGAGACGGCTTCCCCACGGTGGAGGGGCCCCTGCAGAGGCTCCGCCTCCCGCCCGCCGTGGCGCCGCCCACCGCCGTGGCGCTGCTGCCCGGGCGCCGGCTGCTCTACGGCACGGGCTGCGGGGCCGTGAGGCTGCACGACTTCTCCAGCGGGGGGGGCTCGGAGCTGCTGCCCCACCGGAGCGCCGTCTCCTGCGTGACGGCGAGCAACTGGGGGGGGCACGCCCTGGTGGGCTCCGAGGACGGCGTGCAGAGGCTGTGGGCCCTGAGCCCGCTGCTCCTGGACCACACCATGGAGTACAAGGTCAGAGTAGGTCCTCCCCCAGTCCCACAGGCGGGGTCGGTGTTTGCGTGTGAAAGGGTCAAAGGTCAAAGGGCTTCCTCTGCTCTGCCGCCACATCAGGGCGTGTCCTTCCAGGGCGTCCTCTGCGCCGCCTTCTCCGAGAGCGACCGCTTCGTCTTCACCGGGTCCCGGGACAAAACCGTCAAAGTCTGGGATGTGGCCTCAGGTGAGTCCAGGTGTGGGCGCCATTGCATGGACCAGACTCTCAGACTGCTGGAGACAGTTCACTGGAGCTTAGTTCGATTCATTTAGCCCCCAAAAATGCAACCAAATAACTGAAAAATAATTCAAACAAAGCCAGAAAAAACTAATCAGTCTTCTGGCATGGATTAGCTGAGTCCCAGTAACGGTTAGAGGATTGTAAAACGACCCTAAAGGCTGCCTCTGAGGGTCTGTTAGTCCGATGAGGAGGAGAGGGCCCAGGATGGAGCCCTGAGGAACTCCACATGTCAGCGTTTCTGTCCCTGTAGAAGCTCTTTGGCCAGCAGAAACATTCTGCTCATGTGACTTCCTGTGTGCTCCTTCCAGGACAGCTGCTGTACGTCCAGGACGTGTACTCCCCCGTGGTTCGCATGGTGACGCTCAGGAACGGCTTCGTGGCCCTGTCCCAGCAGGGTTTGGTCATCAGGGAGGCGTTTCGCTGTCCAGACCACATCAGTCCGGACTACAGCCCCCTGAAGGGCAGCAGGGCCCAGTACCAGGTCACCTCCAGGGAGAGAGGCCAGGACCCGGAGCAGAGCTCCCCGTCTGAGCTGAAGGACTTCAACCCGGCCCAGATCAACCTCAACCTCTCCAGCATGCTGGGGGCCAGGCCCTCCTCCGCCTGCACCGTACTGTAGGACCGGGGGCGGGGGCTGGGGGGGTGTAGTGGCAGAGCCCCCCCCCCGGAATGCATACACGTCTGATATCCTGTAAAGTCACTGCACATGCTCAGTAAACGACTTTGTGAACTCTCGTGTTGCTGTTTGAATGAGCTGAAACAGCCCCGTACGGGCGGAACCATAGGGGGTCAGCAGGTCCCGTAACCATAGGGGGTCACCTGACCCCGTAGAGAAAGAACCATAGGTGGTCACCAGGCTCCGTAACGGTAGGGGGTCACCCAACCCCGTACAGGCAGAACCATAGGGGGTCACCTGACCCCGTATGGGCAGATCTGTAGGGGGCCACCTGACCCCATATGGGCAGATCTGTAGGGGGCCACCTGACCCCGTATGGGGAGAACCAAAGGGGGTCCCCCGACCCCGTACGGGCAGAACTGTAGGGGGTCACCTGACACCATACAGGCAGAACTGTAGGGGGTCACCTGACCCCACCTCCCCACAGCCCGGGAGACCTGGGGGAGGCAGTGGGTCCAGACTGTGACCGATGGGTTCCCAGTCTGAATGGGGGAGGGGGGGGACTCCTATCTTACGTATGAAGGAGTCAGAAAGGGGCAGGATGTTGGAGGGCTGTGCCTGTCCCTCACCTGAGACCAGGACCTGCTCCCCTCTCTGCCACAGAAACACAGCGTACACAAAACATCCCGTAACCTAATCACTGCAGGGTGGCTCCTGGAGTCCAAACCCAGGGTGTTCCCGGCCAGCCCCAGCCCTGAACAGCAGCCGGGGGCGGGAACACGGATGTGGGGGCTGTGATGCTGGCAGAGAGCCAGCCGGGCTCAAAGCCTCTGCTGGTCCTCCAGACGTGGCTGTGATGGGAACAGGGAAGTGCTGGGCTCAGATAATAGTCCCGGCCCGGTTAAACATTGACAGGCCGCCCCGGCTCCACAGACACCGGACACACTCTGCTCAGAGCTCAAACTGCTGCCGCCCGGCTCCCGGCCACGTCTCAGAGATGGGAAAGCTCTCGGTGCTGCTGAGCCGCCTGCTGCTGTTGGGAGGAGCCATGGCCCAGACAGGTGAGGTCCAGCAGGTTCTGCTCCCCGGGTCCAGTCGCGTGTCCGGCCCTCCGCACGTCTTTAAAGCTGAAAACAGCAGGTCAACAGGAGAATCTGTTCTGTTCTGACCCGGGTCCGTTTGGCTGATTAAAGGAGGAAGCTGATATCATAGAGGTTTTAACAGAGACAGACCGGATCTATGTCCTGCTGATCTCAGAAGGATTCAGTTTAAAGTCAAAGCTGCTGCTTACGAGATTTTCAAAGACAGCTCCTGCAGTATTTTCCTGTTTTCTAGAGACTTTCTGAAGGGTTCCTGAGCAGGTTTTCCAGCTTTCAGAGTTTTTCCGCTCAACCTTGTCAGAGGAGTGTGTGTTTTCTGGGTGGCTGAGCTGACCTCTGACCTCTGTGCCTCAGCCTTGCCGGGCAGCGGTCAGCGGCTGCTTCCTCAGTGGCTGACCGGCATCATCGCTGTGGTCTGCTTCCTGCTCCTCACTTTCATCGCCTTCCTGGTGAAGAAGGTGTGGTGTGAGGACCCCAGCAGGTCAGAGCCGCCCCGTTTCAGCCTCAGGCCGATGGCTGCTCGCTAACTAAGCGTGAATACCCTGTTATCAGCCCTGTGCTTCCACTCTGTGACTGAGCTTAAACCTGGCCGTCTGCAGGAGGCGTGGCAGCGCGGAGTCGGTGAAAGAGAACGAGTACGCCACCAGAGACCCCTACGACACCCAGCTGGAGGCCATGAGGTAACACCGGGGGGGGGGGGGGGGGCCCCCCCCCCCCCAGGGGTTCCCCCCCCCCAGAAACTTCAGACAGACAGATGAACATTCGGGGGGGGCCGAACACAGGCCGATGGGACCCAGTAAATGAGGAACTGGATGCTCAGGGGGACTGTGTGTGTGCAGGAAGAGGGGGAGCACGGAGTCAGACAAAGGCCAGAACCAGGTCTGCTGGGACACCTACGACACAGGCCTGGACGGGCCCAGGTAGAAACACCGGCCGGGTTTATGTCCTCAGCTCAGAGTAGCTTCTGCATCTGCTCTGAATAAATCAAGATGTTTATGATCAGCCTCATTTCTGTAAAAACAGGAAGCAGCTCCATACTTCCTGAAACCTGAAGGTAAATTCTGTTCTATGTGGACACGGAGTGGCTCAGCCCTTGAGTTAGGGGCCTGTTTCTGTTCTATAGAGGGGCTCAGCCCTTGAGTTAGGGGCTGTT